ATTATTATTCCATAATTTTAAAAAACTTTTAAATATTGTTATATCACTTCCTGTATCTATTAAAGCACAAATTGTTATGTTTGTTTTTACAATAGTAATTTGTATATACACAGCTAATGAGAAACTTATCTGATTATTCATCTAATTCTTTTTATATAATGTAGTTTGTCCATTATGAACAATATATAATCATTCTCTTTTTATACTGTAATATTATAATCCATTTAGAAAACTCATTCCTAAAAGTATATGAGGGTTTATATTCATACTTCTATCTATGTAACATGGTACTAAAAGATCTATTCCTCCTATTTTTATTAGTACCTTAACTTCTAAATCTGTTATATGTACTTGTTCATCAAAATTTACATTCTTATATGGTTAAGTTTTATGAGTTATTAGTCCTTTATTTCTAATCGAAGCTATATGACATTCACTACTACTGTATCTATTAATATATTTGGTCCATTTATATTTTCTCTTCCATTATAATATTCTCCTTCTATTTTCATGTTTCCTGTATTCCTATACAGTTTGACTTCTTTTATTTTGTTGATTTTTTCTAACTGATTTTTATTAGGTATTTTAAAACTTTTTGATCTTTTAATTAATTTTTCATCCTTAAATGTTATGTTATTAGAATATTCTCCTTCATTTAATTCTACTATTTTATGTTTATTTTTTGCTATACTAATTCATATTTTTCTGGAATTAAACTTATTTGTTTATTTGGTTCTATTATTTTACTAATATATTTATATTCTTTATGAACTTCAATATATGGTTTATTGGAATAAATATTTTCATAATTAGAATTGGTAAATGTGTATAAAGCTCTATATTCTATAGTAATAATTTGATCACCTGATTGCATAATATCATCTCTATGAAATTTGAAATGTAGTCCTAAAACTTCATAAAAATTTATATCTTTTAATGATACACAATATTTTGGATATTATGTAAACATAATTTTTTGATATGCTAAATTTTCTTCTATTGTTCTTAAATGACTATCTTTTAAATTTATTATTCTTCCATCATGTAAAGTTATAGTTAAGGGTGAATCTATCCCTTCTCTAAATAGTGATTTAACTATTATTTGTATTCCTGTTAAATAAATATATTGAATTTTTTCACTTTATTTTTTACTAATATTTGTTAATAGTTCATCAACTGTATTTGTTGTTAAAAGATTTAATTTATGTTACCCATAAGTTGTTCTTACATCTATGGTTTTTTCTATTTTATGATATTCATTTATTGCTATTTTTTCTCTTTTCCAAATTCTATTAAAGACTTCTCATTTTTCTATTTTTAAGTCTAACGATAATTTTTGCAATTTTCTAAACTTGTTATTATCAAAAGTAACTTTTAATCCATATCTTTCTATTCCTTCATATTCTTGTATATTTATATTATTACTTTCTATTTCTTCAATCTATTTATTCAGATCCTAATTCACCCTCTTCTGTTTCACTTATATATACTTCTTGGTCATAGTATTATTCAATATCTGATATTTCATTTAATTCATCTTTTATTTTTAAGTACTCTTTTTGTAATATTCTAACTTTCTTTTTATCACAATTAGGACTTATATGACCTATTTCTCCACAATTCCAACATTTACATTTACATTGACTTTTATCTTTCTTTTTATTCTTTTGTTGATTATATGAGTTATTTTTTATTTTATAATACCTTCTTCTATGTTTTATATATTTTTTATTAAAATTTCTAAATTTTTAAAACTTTTTATCTTATATTTTCTTTTATTAATTCTTTTTTCAGGATTACATCCCCATTACACAGGGGTTTCCATATCTTCACAACATATTTTAATTAATTTTCCTGATTTTTTTATTAATTGTCTTTGTTGACATATATATGCAAATCTTTCGAATAAAAATTTTATTCTTAAACCTAAAGTTCTAGGTATTTCAGTATTATCTCTAACATATTTTTCAAATTCTATTTTAAAATATATTCCCCATAAACCTGATAACTTATTATAATACATGTCTTTGTATACTTCTTTATTTTCATTACTATAAAATTGAACATAATAGTAATTTTTAAATTCACAAGTATATTATTTAATTTTACACATATTACATATTGTTAAATTTATTAATTTTATTCTAGCATTATTTTTTCTCTTATTGATTCTCCTTCAGCATTTTTTATCCAATTTTTTCCTAGAAATTCATCTGAAATAAATTCTACTAATTTTTCTATACATTGTCTATCTGATTTGATTATTTCTGTTTGTACATTTCTTTTTATTAATGTTTTTGTATCATTGCTTATTCATTCCCATCAATTTTTAACATCTCATTCAAAGGATGCTATTAAGAAATCTACTCTTCTTTCAATATTTTCTTATGTGTCATTTTTATTATATAAAATAATAATATCATCGAATCTATCCAAGTTAATAAGACTTTTTTAGTATCTATTTTACAATTTAAATCTAGTTTTGTTCCTTCATGATTAATTGGTTTATCATAATTATCATTTAATTTAAAATTATATTTATATTTATTTCCTTTAGGTGGTTGTCTATCTCTTACTTTATCATAAAATTGTCTATATGATTTGTTATATATAGGTGCATGGCTTTCATTTGTGTCATGTAATTCTTGTTTAGAGGTTCACGCTGGATTAGGTCCTCCTCCAGTATTCATTAAAACTTGATATTCACTTATATCGGTTAAGCTTAATTTGATCAAAATTTTCTATTAGCAAATCTCATTCTTCACTTTCTTCTACTTTTAGTTTTCCTAATGATTTTTCCCTAGATTTTTCTTCATCTTCTAGTATTTTTAGTAATATATTCTTTCTAAATTCATCATCCATACTCCCTGTTTCTATTACTATATTTTCTTTTTCTATATATTTCTTTCCTATTCGAGTCATTTCTTTTTCTATAAGTTTTTTTTTATCTATTTTCTTATCTTTATTATGATTATTTTCTTTTAATTCTCTAATCTCAATTTTTAATATATTTATATCATTTATTGTTTCTTTTACTTCATTTCTCAAATCTTGTACATCATTTATTAACATTTTTATTAATGATTTTAATTTTTCCATATATTCACTTATTGGCATCTTAATTTTTTCTTATTTCTAATTCATAAGTTAATTTGCATCTTTTATCTTCTTTTTTATCTATTATTTTTCCAAATCTTCTTTCAGTTATATCTGGATCTACTAATTCTTCTTTTACTACATTAAAATATTTGCTTTCAAGTCTTAATCTTTCACATTTTAATTTTGTTAATTGTCTATTATTTGGTATTCTCGTTCCTTCTGGTATTAACATTATATTTCTTATGTTCTTCTTGTATTTTATCCATTTTTAAAAGTAATTTATTCAATTTTTGATGTGTATTATCAATTGTACTCATATTTTTCTTTATAATATAAATTATTTTCTTCATCTTCATATATATTAATAATTTTTTCATATGTATAAATATCTTTTATTTTTTCTATTATTAATTTTCCTAATATTTGTTCCTTTATTTCTTTAGGAAGTTCTTTAATTATTGTCAAAGTCATTATTTTTAATTTATTATAAATAGGTTTTAAAAATATATAACTACATTTTTCTTCTAAACACCAATAATTATCTATTTTTCTTATTTTAATTTCTATGATCTCTATGCTTTTATATAAATATTTGTTCAAGATGTATAATCTAAATATTTCTTTAACTTTCTATTAGATAATTTTTTATTTATTTGCAAAATTTAAGTATTAATCTAGAGATTTTTATTTCTTTAGGCAATTTATTTTTAAAGGTTTTTTTCATGATCTCTATGGCTCTGATACCAATATAGGGGCTATTAAGAGCGAACAAAAATCAAATACAAATATTAATCAAATAAATCAAAATAAAAATTATCAAATTTCAATCAATATTTAATTTTAAGGACTAAAATAGAAAATTTCTATATTATGATACCTTGTTATGTAATATCCAAATGGATGACATTTTTAGTATGTAAATTGTCTAAGGGTCATGTATTTTGGTTCTTAACCTTGAAAATAAGCATTTTAATCCCTAATCTTTCAATTTGCCGTTTCGTGGGTGATTTTCGTCACCATAAAGGTGGCAGTAGTTTATGTTTGCATCGGGCCTAGATGGCCTTCCCCGTCTTCCCTACGAAGAATTTATGAAAATCGCGGCACGAATAAAAATATCTCAATATACTAATATTGCTCTTGTTTGATCCCCTTTTTTTGGGATAAAATACATTATAAGATTGTGATTTTTCGGATAATGTGTGGTTAAAAAGTAATGAAATGTTTTTTGAAATATATGTATAAATATTTTATGGGATAATGTGTGGTTAAAAATGAGATTCGAAAAAATGAAACTCGGACAGGGACTCATTCTATTCGATTTTTAATACAATATAAATTTAACAAGAAAAAAAGGGAAAAAGTCGGGGGCATTCATGTACCAATCCTGCCAAGAGGGCAAGAATATAAATATCTCAATTTACTTATCTTATTCATTTTTTTAATACAATTTAAATATAACAACGGAGCAGTCATGTTCCTAACCATCGGACGGGACAAGGCAAAACAGGTGAGGAACAAAATATTTTGTCATCCGCGCATTTCACTTTTATTTGTAACACCAAAAATTAAAAACCAAAAAAAGAATGAAAATATTGTCAATTAAAAAGTAAGGATAAAATATTGTTTGGAAAGTGTAAACAGTTAAATCATATGCGTCCTAATCTCCTACCCCCAATGAGTAGGATAAAAAATTTTCACTACTGATGTAACAAGAATACTTTAATTATTATACTCTGAAATGATCATAAATTTAGAGAACCATGATTAAAGTTGAACAATTCCCCTCATAGAAGTTTTACAGCCAGCACATTTGGTCCATTTTTATTTTTTTATTTTTTAACCATCTTTCAATGCGAAATTGTCAAATACCCTGTCAGTAAAAAATCTGTAAACCCACCCTATACACCAAGCATCTCTCATTAAACTCTTCTCTCTATGTCAATGGTGAAGCTTTTATCCTGCCCACCGAACACGAGATCAATTCTATAAATCATACTACATTAACGAGGCCAATTTCCCTCAAAGTAACAATACGCAAGGCAAGCATATAAAGTTGGGGAAGAATCCCAAAACAGAAATATTATAAACTCAGTCCTACAATGTCTAATTTCAAATGATGTCGCAAGGGATCTTCACATGATCTCCAATCTTGTTACATCATTGGTAGTACATGAGCTGCTGAGCACCAGCCACATTCTGGAAACCACCATCGTAGATGGCTTGGCTAGCACCAGCGCCCACTCCCAAAGATGCTTGAATCAGAGGATTTTGCCCCTGGGTATTCATGAACGCCTGTACGCTACCCATCTTGCTCATCGCAAGTTGCCGCTCATAAGCCAGAAGGTCTGTGGCTGAAATGCCTGGGAAAGGTGCAGGTGCAGGTGGTGGGAGCGGGTTTGAGCTCGTTCCAGGTGGAGTTGGCTTGTTACCCCATGAACACTGAAGGAATTTGGAAAACATTGATGAGATCACGCTAAATATATAAACAAAACAAGCTAAGACATACCTTGATTTGTTTACCACAGAGAAATGATTGATTATTTCCCAATGAAATAGCCATAGCGGCTTCTGCATGTGTACTATATCTTACAAATCCAAATCCTTTATCGCGCTGAACCCTAACTTCCTCGATTGCTCCAGCACCAAGGGAGTGGAAGTGGCGATGGAGATCAACCTGGGTAACCTGGTAAAGCAAATGCAAGGGAAAACATGCATGAAAATCAATTTCAAAGGTTTAGAAGATAATTAATATTTTCTGCATGGGTAGGGGTTAAGGATTAAAAGAAGCTTTATAAGAAAATGTCTACGTAGAGTACAAGGGTATCATGTGCAAATTCATTGCAATAATCTTCTAAAGCCCACATTTTTTATCAAGTATTCCAAGGTTTACATTTTACCAACTTGAAAAGAAAACATTCTTTTAAAAAAAAAAAAAAAAAAAAACAAAAAAATAAAAAAAAAAAAAAAAAAAACAGAAGAAGAAAGAAATTCACACCAAAATTAACAAATCCATTGCCTTGTGAAAGTCCGATCCCCTCATTCATGGTTGGATCATCTCAACAACTTGGAAAAACCCCAAACTAGTTAAAGACTTCAACACAACCCTTGCAGTATGGGATGCATTTGAAATGCTTATATACACACAACATATCTTCACAAGAATGAAGATAAAAATCATC